CTCCCAAATGGTCAAAAAGATCATCTTGATTTGGCAGTGGATACTTGTTTTTAACTGTCATTTTGTTTAGTTTTCTATAATCTACACACATTCGTAGACTACCTTCCTTCTTTCTTACGAAAACAATTGGTGAAGCCCAATTGCTCTTGCTTGGTTGAATAACTTTGCTTTTTACCAATTCAGCTATCTGTTGCTTACATTCTTCTTGTTTTTGAGGAGGCATTCTATATGGCCTTTGTCTATATGGTGTTGAACCTGGTTCAAGAGTTATTTCCAAGGGTGGTACCTCTGGATTGCCAATATCAAATCTGTCTTCTGCAATAGTTTCTTTATATTTTGCCAGAATTTGGGTAACTTTGTTCTTCATCTTGGGATTTTCTTGTTCAATTGTTGTCTGAAGGGTATGTATTTGACTCTCATTCTTTTTCATAATAAGAGGAACTGGGTAAAACCCTTTGAAAGATAAGTGTTGTGTTCCAACAGGGTAATTCTTTTCTGTACCTGGCTGGAGTATAATCTGTCTCTTGCCAAAGTCAAGGGTAGCTCCATTTTGTTGTAGAAAGTCACACCCAATAATACATTGTTGTGTAATGATTTTGTTGATCAGAAAGCGTTGTTTAATAATCTTTCGATTAAAATAAAGTCTGAGAATGATTTCTCCACATATCTCAATGCTATTTCCTGAAGCATCTCTAGCATTTTTCACAGTTTGTTCTGGGAAGGATGCTTTTCCTTGAACTTGTCTTAATACCTTTTTTGAAATGAAAGATCTGTCACTACCAGAGTCTATCAAGGCATCAAACTTAAAACCAGTATTAGTTTCAAATTGTCCAATAAATGTTGAGGCATTTCGCTCAGATTGTTTGCTTTGTAACAGCTGACAAGTGGATTCGTCACTATCTGAAAAACAGAGAATATCTTGAACTTCGTCGTTTTCTGACATGCTTTCATTGTCTAATGTTTCTAATTTTTGTAGCTTAGGTTCCTCTTTCAGTATCGTCTTTGCTGGTTGATTTTTCTTATAATACCTATTTGTTGTAGTTGGTGCATACTTTTGGACTTTTTGGCTTGAAAACTTTTCTTTAGTAGCATTTTTGTTGTCAGGTACATGCTTTCTATTCCAAAAATTTGGGGTTTCTGTAGAAGCATCTTTTCTGATTACCTGGGTCTTTTTGGTCTCTTTTCTTTGTTGAGTTTCCAATTTTGACACCATTGTGATCGGTTTTCTTTGAGTTAGTTTTAATGAAGTTTCTGCTTGCTTAGCAGCCTCATATAGTTCTGCCAATGTTTGACATTTAGGATGTAAGGTGTACACTAAATGTAGAATATCCTGTTGTAATCCTCTTTGTAAAACTTCCATCAGTTTTATTTCTTTCATAGTTGCAAGCAATTGTGGTTCCATTGGTCTAGGTGGAGAAAACCTCTTTATCAATTTCTTTGCTCTATTAACAAACTGAACCACACTTTCGCCATTCATTTGCTTTAAGTTAAGCAATTTCTCCTGATACTCCAAAGGATCTAGATCAAATTCGTCATGGAGGGCTTTCCATATTTCCTCCACAGTAGGCTCTCCATCCAGAGCCAACACCAAATCCTTTGCAGGACCAGTTAAATAATCTAAAAGATTTGCTTTCACAACATCTTCTCCTATCCAACCATAAGCATAACATGCCTGATTAAAGTCTTCTTTGAATTTTGAACACTCCTTGCTTCCATCATACAACTTGAGAATAGTTCTTTGAGGGCGGTCCCAAGCAGCCCTTAATGCTTGAATTACTGTTGTGATATCAACATTTGGGTTCTGTGCTGGGTGATGTGTTCCATCTCCATGATCTGTTGGAATTGTGATTCGATTTCTTTTCATTTCACTCACCAATCTATCATAGTCTTCAATTAGTCTTTGTTGCCTTTCTGACATTCCTGCTGGCTGAATTGTAATTGTTGGAGTTGCTGGGGTTGAAGGGTTAGAGTCTGTAACTGCCCCAGTGGCGTTTCCATTTCCTCCTTCTGCCATATTTACTTTCTCAAAACTTTTGAATAAACCAAAAGAATATCCTGTCGACTGCGCCAAATTTGTACTGCTCTTGCTGGCAAAATCTATGCGTTTGCAAGTTATAACAATACTGGTTCTACTCGAACCTTTAAACAAATGTTTAAATTAAAATGGTTTATTCGCAATAATAATACTTAAGCAAGTAACAATATGAGAGTTCAATAGCAGAGTAGATAGTTTGTAATAGCAGGTTGCCAAATTACCAAACTGTCTTCCAATGTTGAGGAGTAGATGGATGGTTCCAGTGGAGGTTGTTTCCAGATGATTTTCCCAGGTCCTTGGGTCCAGATGGAAGCTGCATGCCAAATGAGAATAATGAGGATTTATATACTTTGAGGTTTGTCTCTGACATCCAATCATCACTTTACAGTTGCCAAAATGTGTAGTTCATATTTATCTTTAGTAACAGGATGTTACAAGGTTCAACATTTAGGAAGGTTAATTGAATTATAACTTGGCCACACCCTAGGCAAGTTAATTAAATTATAACTTGGCCAAACCTTTATTGGTAATTAAAGATGAGCCTTCAAGCTGACTAATCAGACTTATGTTTGGCCAATGTTATAGCATTTTCTTGCGTAGGTTTTAAGATGTACATGTATATGTTGCATAAAATAATAGAGTTCAAGCATGTAAAATATAACCAAAGTTGTACACTAGACGTTTCAATTTTGTTGGAGGTGATAGAGCTCGAAAAGAGCTTTTCACTGATATGCTACACGACCATGTAGCTCTTACAGTTCAGGAGTGGCTGAGCTTCGAATAACGAAAATTTTCCGAGTTCAGGTAGAAAAATAAAAATATTTTTTTCTATCTTTCCGACGTAGGGGCAAGCTTGGATTCAAGTTTGAAAGCAATCCGACGATTTGGAAAAATTGGCCTTCACTGAGGCTCTGGACTTGTAAAGATTTTGCGAAAATCATTAATTTTCTAAGTTCATTGTCATGTTAATTACCTGTAAAAACGTTACATTCGCCTGGGTACTTAGAAAGATTTTGGAAAAAATATTTTCCGAAAATATTCTAAGTCCAGCCTAACACAGTGTTAGGTTTTGGACTTAGAAAAATTTCGACTGAAAAAAGTCGATAAATTTTTCAAAAATATTCTAAGTCCAAATTGGACGTGAAATCACCCCTTATCTTAGATTCAGTTATATTTCATGGTGCGGTAATGAAAAGGGCTCTGGACCGCCCCATGCAAATAGGATTGGCCATATATGTACAGAGGAAGGAACAAAGAATTGAATCTAGGTCTTCTTCTGTTACATTTTATGAAAAGTGACTTACCTGATTGTTATACCTGCGATTTTTGAAAGGTTACCCTCTAATTACTATAGAACGTAGGGTCGAGATACTGGTAATAGAGTCTAAGGCTGCCAGTCAGCCATCCTCACCTACCACCGTTAACTTCAAAGCTCCATAGCTCCGCAACCGCTGGGCCGATTTCGTTCAAATTTTGCACAGTTGCTCAGTTCAATTAGATCTAGCACTGTGTAAAATTTCATAACGATCGGAGCAAGTTGAAATTTCAACTTTCGTCAGTGGTTGACTTGCTTTACTGACCACCAAATAGGTGATTTGTTGCGAGATAAAGTGTGGGATCAAACCAGTACCTATCCTAAGGTATAGTAAGCCTCTCAGAGATCAGTCTGGTGGCAATCTAACCAGCCACTTTTCCCCTCTCACTTGATAAAGGAGGAATACCTCCAAAATATTGTGAGTTTTAATCTGGTGACATTGTGTTAGTTGCTAAATACAGGTTCTCTTCACCCTTGTGGAGAATTTGTAAGTGGTTTTGTTGGAGATACAGTTACAGATTAGGCTGGGGAATTGCTACTCAAGATAGCAACTCCTCAATAGCTACACCAACCCTTAGCCAAAGCTTGGTTATAAGTGTGTGTGCACTTTTGGGATTACCAGTCTGTACTGATTGTGCTAATCCCTACCCCCAAGACCTAACCCTGATGGCACAAGATTGTAACTACTACATGTCTGATTAACATAAAAAGTATAAACAAGCAACCTCAACTTTGATACTCATTTTCAATTAAAAAAAATAGAGTTACAGGGCCTTTCCTTTTTAAATGTGCAGACCACAAATCTGTAACACTGTACACTATGTATGACACACCTCTTCAATAAATCCATTACATTTACTAAATGTGTGGTCAAACAGCCTTTCACATTAGGGTGTGGCAGGAATTATTGCTATTCCCAACCTATTCAATGTAATGTACTTACTGACCTTGACCTCATTCATATGTCTATTTTGAAAATAATAAAAGCAAAATTGTGTGGGTAGCCTGAAAGAAAGAAATTTCTTACATTTGCTTTTTGAAAACATATTGTATGATCTTTTCAACCATAAAAATCATAGGAAAGAGTTTAGATCTAATCATAGTTTATAGATATCAAAAACAAAATGAGCAATTTCAAAGCTAAATTAAAGGTGAAAAGGCAGTCAAGAAGAAAAGGACACAAAAGGGATTTATACTTAGAGGGCAGTGGTCACACCCAAGATTCTGGGTCAGTGGAAAAGGGTGAGGCAAAGAGAGGGACACATTAGGGTTAGGATAAAAAGGATTCATTTGTGCACATTTTCTCTTACATCCAATCATATCACATATTTCAAATCCTTTATATTGCAGCAACCCTGCAGTAAGCCTAAGATAGTATAACAAGTATGTCTAAATTTAATAATGCAGCTCTTTTTACAGAAATAAAATAGATCTGATAAATTATTGAGCAGACTGTGCTTTCAATTATTCAATTCCAAAAAAATTCTCTTTTCACTGTCTCTACTATGAGTAATGAAAAAAACCAGTTTCTCATGTTATAGTGACAGTGAATTTATATAGGTTAACAGAATAGGCTTCTATGTACACACACATATCTATATATATATATATGATCATTTCCACACTGAGTACAACAGATTACAAAGTGAAAATGAAGAGCAACAAGTCCTTGATAATCTTGGCAACTCTCTTTCTAGGTAAATATTTTTGATTTTCCACATTAGTGAACAACAATTTTAAGGTATTTCTTTCAGTTGGCAAAGTTATTTCTGCTGAATTTGAATTCCATCTTCAATATAACACTGAAATTAAGGGAGGAGAAGTGATTGCCTATACTTTTTCAAAAATTGAGGGGACACCAACCTGCAAGTTTGTTTTCAAATTAATATTTTATAAGATTTATTTAAGTCAAAATATCTCTTGTAGGATAAATGCTAAAAGATATGATGGAAATTCAATACCTGAAGAAAGTGTAATTGTAGATGGCGATTACAGATCTATAGCTTTCAATACAAATGCTTATGGAAGTGTGCCTAACAATTTCACATTTGTTGCTTCAATCAATTGTGTTGATGGTTCAGATTCTGTATCTTTTGAGCTAAAAACATTTGTTCTTAAAGATGGTGAGCCAGAGAGACATCTCTTCATTTACAAAAAAATTAACATATTTACATTCCAGATCCAACTGATCCTTCTGCCCATTCTATATGTCCCATTGAAATTCAAATTTCCAGTGTGCAAAAATCTTCCTCAACACTTAAGCTCTTGTGTGGAATGTTTACTGGAACTTGCAGGTAAATAACACACGATCAGCAGTTCTTGACCAGTCTAAATTATCTGTCCTACTTTTCTTTTAGTGCTTCTGTTGTTGACTCAAGTAAAGCAAATATAGACAAAACATCCCCCATTACAATTAATTATAATGACATAGAAATTATGGCTACCAAATCTGGTTCTTCTGATTCAGCACTAATTAGAATAGATTGTACCTTGGCCAATATTCAAACTTCCAGTAATACTCCAGTATATTTTACCCCTGGTGCTGATCCATGGGCTACAGCAACTGGAGATCCTCATTTTAAACAAATCATATTTGATCAGCTACATTCTATGAATCAGCCTATCTGTTATGATGTCACTGGTACACCTGATAGCTACCTTAAACTAGTTGAATATTTAAAGATTGGTACTCAAATTTATGGTCAACTTAAAGATGATTATTACATGCACAGAGTTATCATTAAATCTCTTCTTGGTAACATTACTATATCAATGAATTCTGTTACAATTCACAATAGAACACAATTGAATTGGATGGAAAATTCAAAAAGATTATTAATCCAATCAGAAGGTTTTACATATGATATATTTTCCAACGAAATATTGATAACCATTTTAGGAGAAACTCCTATAAAAGTTAGAATTGAAAGGAAAAGACATTCTTTAGAGCAATTGCATTTAGATGTCAGCTTTAAATTTCTTCCAAAAGATTATGAGGAAATGAGTGGACTTTTGGGTCATATTGGCAAAAAAGATTATAAATTCTATTCAAGTGTTCAATCGAACTCTGATATCAGTAATTCTAAGGTAACAACTATTGCAATTGATGATAATTTGATATTTGGAAGAAAAGTTGAAAGAAATGGAAAATATTGTTGGTTAATGGATGTTGATGATATTTTGAAACCTCTTCAAATTTCTCAATTCTTTTCTAATAGTATTAATTGACTAATTAATTGGAAGCAGTGGGAGAAAATATCCCATTTTTTGTTCTTCTCACTAATCTTAATGTAACAGTTAACAACATTATTTCCACTATAAATTATTATTCCTAACAGGATCTAATTGTAGAATTACCAAATATCTTACCCAAAACTTTAGCCTACTGGGCAATTGTATCAAATTTTACTAATATTTATGGTAAATAATTAATTGTTAAAGTTGTTTGAATACAATTAATATTAAAAAATTTCATCAGAAATTTTTCATATCTCTGTCCTAAATAATTGTTTGTTAAAAGTAAAAGTACTGAAGCAAGCAACAATATGAAAGTTCAATACCAGAATAGATAGTTTACAAATCCCAGACTAGCATTTAATATTGTGGAGTAAAAGTCTTGTGTTTTCCAAATGATCTTCTAAGATGAGTTAATGATTTGAATAAAACAGTGAGGATTATATATACTGGGAGGTTGGTTTTTCAACATTTTTTACTTTGTTCTATTGTAATTGTAGGAAGTCCTAGCTCGTTGCTATCAAATTCATCCTCTCCAATCATTTACCAATGTGCCAAAGTACTAGTCCAAATAGAAATTTCATCAAGGCCAAATACATAAATTTATATATATATATATATACATGAACTGTTACCTGTTAATCAATCACACAGACCTTGACCCTTTTAAAAAAAACAGACTTTGACACTGATTTATTAATTGAAAAAAAACAAAGAGTAATAGGGCCTTCCCTCTTTGGATGAGTAGACCAAGTTGAACATATAACTAATCTGTAATGTTAAACACTGTATATAACAAACCTCTTCATAAAAAATCCTTTTTATTTACTCAAGAAGTTGTCCAATGGCCATTCACATTAGGGTGTGGCAGAAACTATTGCTATTACTAATGTGTTCAATACAATGTATTTATTGACCTAATTCATATGTCTATTTAGAAGATTTTGAGATTAAAGTTGTGTCAATAGCCTAAAAAAAACTATTTCTTATACATTAGCTTTTCTAAAGCATATTGTATGATTTTTTCAACCATAAAAATCATAGGAAAGATTTTAGATATAATCATAGTTTATAGATATCAGAAACAAAATGAGCAATTTCAAGGCTGAATTGAAGGTGGAAAGGGAGTTAAGAAGAAAAAGACACAGGCAATTTATATTTAGAGGGTGGGGGCCACACTCAAGATTTTGGGTTAATAGAATAGGGTTAGACAAAGAGAGGGCCACATTAGTTTTAGGGTAAAAAGGATTCATTTGTGCACATTTTCTCTTACATCCAGTCATATCATATATTAAGACTTTTCAATAAAATTGTAGAATATACACCAAACACATTTTCATGATATTTATATAGATAAAATCATATTGGTGAAGCTATTTAGTGATCCATAGAAATATCATACAAGAATACAACATAGAATCCTTGAACCTTACAATTATTCAATTCAAGAAAATTTCTCTTTTCATTGTGTGTACTATGAATAATGATAAAAAAAACCAGCTTCTCACATTAGAGTGACAAAGAATTTCCATTAGTGAAGGTTTAGGTTAGGGTTAGGGTTTGGTAAGGGTTATGGGTTAGGCCACTCACACAACTCTGGTAATGTTTTTGGGAACTGGTTAGCTAGTGTTCCAGTGTAATACCTAACTTTTACTCAATGTTAGGTAGGGCTTCTCCTTGGTCAGGATTATAGATCTGGGCTCCCAGTCTTAGTCAGGTTTTCGGAACTGGTTAGTTGGTGTTCCAGGGTTCAGGGTTAGGTCTTGGGGTTAGGGTTTTAACGCCCTAGAGTAGCACTCTCACTTTCTCCGTGAGTGATACCCTTGGAAGGTTGCGTTCCACATTGAAGGGTTAGGGTTAGCAAAGGGTTTTTTTTTGATTAAATCAAAAAAGAGAAACAGGATTCTCACATTTCAAGAGTCCCAGTTGATTTTGGGAAGCAGTCAAAGAAAAAATACACCAAAATCGACATTTAAAACAATTTCCAACAGAAAAAATTTTTCAAAAAATTTTCAAAAATTTTTTTCTTAAATTTTTTTCCTACCTACTTGACCTACCATGGTTTCGTCCCCCTCTCTATTAAATTTTAAACCTGGGACTCTTCAGGGTCTACTAAGCTACATGAAAGAGAGGTTTGAGAAACTTAATAAGAAGTTTCTCTCCAGATTTTTGATTTATTTATTTGTTTGTTGATAAAGATTCTTGTGGAGTAAAATTTGGAATTAAATTAAAAAATAATTAAAAATAAAAAATAAAAATAAGAAACCAAGATAGTTTAGAACTTTTTAAATTAACAAGTTATTAAAGAAAGCATCTATGGACTTGAATTAAAGTGTAAGGAATAAATAACAGTAAATTGAGGGGATATCTATACTGACAGTTTGGAGAAACAGCAAAGACTGAAAAAACAAAATTTGAGGCCTAAAAAATAAGAAAAGTATTATAGAATAAAATAAAATAAGTTGGGTAAATAGTGTCAGCCAGGATTGGAGTAACAATAAAAGTTGAAATAAAAGTAAAATTAAAAATAAAATTAAAAAATAGAAAATTCAAGATTCAAAAAGTGGAAAAATAAAAGTATGAATTGTATTATTATTTAAGACTAGTTGATGAATTAAGTATGTGTAAAGGAATTGGTGTATAGGGAGGTTGAGTAATTGAAAATATATAGAATAAGTGAGTGTAAATGAATGAAATGTGAAAAATATGTTGTATTCTGTAGAAAGTATGGTTAATTTATTTTATTTCCCAACATTCATTTAGTTTGCCCAGTGATAAGTTGTTCTGGCTAATGAATGGATTGGAAAGGAAATTTGGATAATTACTATTTGTCTGCCTATATATTGTTTGTAATGAATAATATAAGTATTTGGGAAGATATTAGGATTCCTCATTCTTTTTTTGAATTTTGCATTTGATTTGTTTGATTTAAGAATGGAAGGAACCTGTGGTGTTTAGTATTATTGTTTGTAAAAAGTCTTTTTTCCAACATTCATTTCATGAGTCCCTGATAGTTTGTTATGGGCTAATGAATGGATTGGAAATAGTGTTAATGTAGCTAATGTGAAGTATGTAAGAGAAGTGTTGAGGGTGTTGGATAAATTTTAAAACATAATTAGGTAATTTAGATGGGAGAAAAAGTTAGTGCAAATTGTAAAAATCATCATTATTTATAGATGATAGATTGATGTTTGTTATTTTAGTGGTATGAATATACTTGCAATTGCATGTGGTAGAAGTTAAAAAACTATTTTTATGTATGAGCTTTTTTCCAACATTCATTTAGTTGTTCCAAGGATATAAGATTGATTTTGGCTAATGAATGGATTGGAAAAGATGTAAGTTGTTGGGTTCAGTGTAATTTTAAATTTTGTGGAATGTTTTGATGTAAATTATTGTGAAGTTTATATGGGAAATTGAAGAAAAAATAATGATTTTCTGATTTTTGCTTAAGAATCAAGGGTTAGATATTTGAGCTTTTTAAAGGGTCTTAACAAATTTATAACTGAGAGAAATTTTGTAATTTTTAGAATTACAAAAGATTTGAAAAAAATTTTGAAAAAAAGTATCAAATCAGCAAACATTTATATATCTAACAAAAGGTATACATAATACTAATCACTTTTACACCTTATTAAAACCTAGTTAATACCAAAGTAAATACCAAAATTAACACAAAAGTTAATAACAAAATTAGTACCAAAATTAAGACCAAAATTAAGACCAAAATTCAGATCAAACTTCAGATCAAAGTTCAGATCAAACTTCAGATCAAACCTTAACCATCAGAAAATTCAGATTCAGCATCATAAAGACATTAACAACATATTTTCAGTAATATTTCCAAATTTCATCATTTGGTTTCAACAACAACAAATTATCAACAAAACAAACTCAAGCAATTTACCAATAATGTTATATTAATTAACAGACACATGTATAAGAATCTTTATCTTTTTAAAAGGAAAACAAAAAATTTTGAAAGCTAAAGTCAAAAATTTTAATTTTGAATTGAAAAAAGTCAATCTTATGGAAAAAGTTTTGTTTTTGAGTCATTGATTAAGGCTTATGTATTAGTTCCTCTCATTCCACATTCTCTTTACTTGTTGGGGTTTGCAAAGGGTTTTTTTTTGATTAAATCAAAAAAGAGAAACAGGATTCTCACATTTCAAGAGTCCCAGTTGATTTTGGGAAGCAGTCAAAGAAAAAATACACCAAAATCGACATTTAAAACAATTTCCAACAGAAAAAATTTTTCAAAAAATTTTCAAAAATTTTTTTCTTAAATTTTTTTCCTACCTACTTGACCTACCACGGTTTCGTCCTCCTCTCTATGTTCAATACCAAGGACTCATCAGGGTCTACTAACCTACACCTATAGAGAGGTTGAAGACTTCCAATAGGGAAGGTTCTTCTTCAGGTTTTATTCAATATATATCATAATAAAAGTGCTACTTATAAGAATACTGTATTATGAATTATGTACATACCATTAATATTATTGAAGTATGTATATTTTGAAAGGATATTGTAGAAGATGTTCATTAGACCAGCTACTTTTAGTGTGATGTTGACTCCTTAATCTTCAAACTACAAATGATTTCTGTGAAAAAGAAATTTATAATATATATAAGACACATGGAAAAAGCCTGTGGGAACATGCCACAAGCTAATCAAGCTTACATAAAATTATATAATGCTAACAGATATGTGGGAAAATAAAATTTGTAAACTTTTAAAGAATAGATAATCAAACTAAACATATGTGTGAGAAATTTCTAACATTATGTCAAAAAGAGATAAGAATATGTAGTAATAAAAATTCTGTGGGACCTTATACTATATCCTTAAGATTTTGATTTAATTTGAAGTAAATTATTGGCAGCCTAAATAGGAACAATTGGAAACATTTCAGTTGAAAAAATCTGCAAAGAGGTTGAAGATTTCTTTAGGTTTTATTCAATATATATCATATTAAAAGTGCTACTTATAAT